AGCTCAAGGCTAGCACTCTACCACTTGAGCTACAGCGCCACTTCCGGCTTTTTTCTTTTTGCTTATGTGGTGCTGAGGAATCGAACCCAGGGCCTCATGAATGCAAGGCAAGCACTCTACCACTGAGCCACCTTCCCAGCCCATCCTGTAATTTCTATTAGCCACAGATTTTTTTCTTTAAATTAAGATACTAGTATGTTCTTTTACCATTTTGAAAAAGTAATCTTTTTCTTATTGAATTCTAAGAGTTCTTTTGTATACTGAATAATCACCCTTCATTCAATTCAAAAATAAAAAATAGACCGGGCATAGTGTCACATGCTATAATCCCAGCTCATTCTTCCCTCCCCCAAAGCAACCAATTATGCTAAGTTTATGCATTCCCAGCCTTGCTTTTTATACTTTTACGACATTTGTATGACACAGAAAATGAGGAGGCCTATTGAAGTTACTATAAATAGTATCCTATTTCAGGATGGTGATGCAGCTCAGTGGTAGAGTGCTTGACCAGCATTCACAAGACCCTGGGTTCCATCAGTAGCAGTAGAAAAAGAAAAAAAGGGGCAAGGAAAATGGCTCAGTGGTAGAGTGCTTGCATGCATGAGGCCCTAGGTTCGATTCCTCAGCACCACATAAGCAGAAAAAGCTGGAAGTGGTGCTATGGCTCAAGTAGTTGAGCGCTACTTGAGCTCAAGAGCTGAGGGACAGCGCCCAGGCCCAGAGTTCAGGCCCCACGACCAACAAAAAAAAAAAAGAAGAAGAAGAAAAAGAAAAAAAGGCACTCATTTCTTCTGCAACTAGATTTGATGTTTCCCACCCTGTACTTAAAATGAAACCATGCTGACAATCTAGTTCAGACGTCAACATTTTTCTTCTCTAATGAGCTACATAGTAAATATTTAATTTTTACTGGCTAAACATCTGTTCCAACTATGCAATGTTGCTGTTGTCATGTAAATATAGCTACAGATAATCTGTAAATGAATAGCCTTGCTTATATGTCAATAAAACTTTATTTATGGACACTGATATTTGATTTTCATGTAATTTTTACATGTCATGAAACATTATTCTTTTTTCCTCCAAACACTGAACAATGTAGAAATCATTGCTCCCTCACACACACAGTGAGTGTAAGAATGGACTTGGTGTAGGCTGGATTTAGTAATGGGATAGCTTGTGAATGCGATAGCCTGTGCGACATGGTGTGGTGTCCTGCAGAAGGATGTTCAGCATGCACATGTCAGGGTACCTAAGCCTGACCACTGAGCAGCTAAGAGCTCAATGCTTTCCTGATATCTTTTTTCACAACCCACATGGCTCTGGGTAGCAACACTGGAAAAAGATCCAAAACTAATTTCTTAATACAGATCTTACTTCTGCAAGAAAATTAACCATGACTTAAGTATGATTTAAACAGATGAGTTCCTCATTTTAATGGAATGTATACCTACCTACTTCTAGAGAAGTAGAGAGATTAAATGAAATAACTTACTTGGCACGTGAGGGTCTCATGGCAGTTTTAGAACTATGACGAAGATTTAACATATTTTCATGTTCTACTTGCTTCACTTGAGCTTCAAGTTTTGAAACCATTCTAATTCAAAAAGAATAAGATAAATTGAGTTTCTGTCAACACTATGTAAAACACAAAACTTCCAAGTTACTTCTGTTAACAGCCTCTCCTCAGAAAAGGGGTGACAAGGGCTGGGAATTCACAAGACTCTGGGTTCCATCAGTAGCAGTAGAAAAAGAAAAAAAGGGGCTGGAAAGGTGGCTCAGTGGTAGAGTGCTTGCTTTGCATGTATGAGGCCCTAGGTTCGATTCCTTAGTACCACATAAGCAGAAAAAGCCGGAAGTGGTGCTGTGGCTCAAGTGGGAGTGCCAGCTTTCAGCAAAAGATGCTCAGGAACAGCGCCCAGGCCCTGAGTTCGAGGCCCAGGACTGGCAAAAAAAAGAAAAGAAAAAGGTGACAAAAGTGTTCCCTGACCACAAACCCTTTTTCACAGAAAAATACAATTATAACTTTTGAAAGCCAAACAAAATTAGGAAAAATAAACAGAAAGGCAGATTCCTCCTCATCACTCTTAGTTCACACACAGACAAGAATGAGCAGAGGTCTGGACTATTCATGAGACAGCTTACCTTTTCAAATCAGAAATCTGAGTGTATGCATCAAGCAATTTGTTCTCAGTTGTATTTAAGGTATCCTATAAAAGTAAAGAAAAAATTCACATAACTGAGAGAAGCATTCTGATATATTCTTTCAAGTTAAAATGCGTAATATAAAACTAACCTAAGACACACCAGCTATCTGCAAATTATACAAAGCCTATTACCTTTACTTGGCCATGCTCTTTTCCAAGGGATTCATACTCTTCCAGGAGCTGCAAAGAAAAACAAAGAATTACACCACAAAATTAAATAATATAATATCAACTGCAGGAAGGAGGTCTCCAAAAACCATAGGACCCTTTCAAAAAATGCTACTTTCACGAAGGAGGAAGGTGAAGGGAATATAATTCCTGACATTATTTTTGCAAGTTTTAAGTTTGATGTTATTTTAAAAGTAAAACAAAATAAGACCAACTGATGACCTTTAAAACTTTCATAATTTAAGCTGAGCACCAGTAGCACAAGCCTATAATCCTAGCTACTCAGGAGGCTATAATATCTGATAATCAGGTTCGAAGCCTATAAAATCTGATAATCGGGGTTCGAAGCCAGCCTGGGCAGAAACATCATACACACACACACACACACACAGAGAAACATCACACACACACACACACACACACACACACACACACACACAGAAACATCACACACACCCACACCACCACCACCACCACCACCCAGAAGTAGAGCGGTAGCTCTAGCTAGCCTGGAGTGAAAGAAACTCAGGAACAGCACCCAGTCCCTCAGTTCAAGCCCCAAGATCAGCACAAAAAAATTTTTTTTTCATAATTTATTTGTACTGTTCTTTTTTCTCTGTTTTTTTTTTTTTTTTGGTCAGTCCTGGGGCTTGAACTCAAGGCCTCAGCACTGTTTCTCAGCTTCTTTTGCTCAAGGCCAGCAATCTACCATTGGAGCCACAACCTCATTTCCAGCTTTTTCTGATTATGTAGTTAGTACTGAGAAATCAAATCCATGTCTTTATGCATGGCATGCTAGGCAAGCACTCTACCACTAAGCCATATTCCCAGCCTTCTACTATTCTTTTCTAAATTGTTATATATTATATTTTGCTAAGTTTGTTCTTAAGGATTTCAGTACAATGCCAGCTAAGAGTCAGTGGCTCATACCTGCAATCCCTAGCTGAGATCTGAGGATCATGGTTCAAAGCTAGCCTGGACAGGAAAGTCCATAAGAATCTTATCTCCAATTAACCACCAAGAAGCCAGAAGTGGAGCAGTGGCACAAGTGGTAGAGCACCAGCCCCAGTATTGGAATACACACAAACACATACACCAAGTCTGTAGTTAAAGCAACCTAGCCCACCATCAAGTCCCCATCAGCTGTCACTCACGTCTTGAAACATCTTATTTTCCTGTTTCAGTCTAGCTTCTTTATCATCTGAGAGTTTGTAAGCATTCTCAAATGCTGCTTCCAAATCCTGCAGTCTAGATTTCAGTCGAAAGATCGTATTGTCTTTTTCTTTACTGCTGGTTCTCATTTCTTCAATTCGCTCCTGCAAAATTTTGGAGGCACTACTGGCTGCACTGAAGCGTTCTCTCAAATCACTCTATGGAATAAGGACAACTAAATTATTTGAAATGAAAAAAGATGCCTCAGCAGTTAGGAAATAAGCCAGGCACTAGCGGTTTACACATGTAATCTTAGCTACTCAGGAGGCTGAGATCTAAGGACTGAAGTTCAAAGCCTACCCGGGTAAGAAACTCCAGAGACTCTTATCTCCAATCAGCAACCAGAAATCCGGATGTGGTACTGTGGTTCACAGTGGTAGAGCACTAGCCTCGAGCAGAGAAGCTCAGGGATAGCGCACAGGCCCTGAGTTCAAGCCCCATAACTGACACACACACATATTCATAAAAGAAATACAGGGCTGGGAAGGTGGCTCAGTGGTAGAGCGCTGGCCATGCATGCCTGAGGCCCTGGGTTCGATTCCTTAGCACCACATAAGCAAAAAGAAAAAATCCGGAAGTGGCGCTGTGGCTCAAGTGGTAGAGCATTAGCCTTGAGCTGAAGAGCTGAGGGACAGTGCCCAGGCCCAGAGTTCAGACCCCACGACCGGACCCAAAAAAAAAGAAAGAAAGAAAGAAAGAAATACAAATAACTATAAATTTAATGTTTTTTATTGTAGAATGGAGAGTCCAGAAAGCATCACTCTTTATATTATTTATTTATTTTTTTTGGTGCTGGTCCTAGGGCTTGAACTCAGGGCCTGGGTGCTGTCTTTGAGCTTCATTTGCTTAAGGCTAGTGCTATACCACTTGAGCCACAGCTCTGCTTCCAACTTTTTTTTTTTTTGTATTTATTGGAGATAAGAGTCTCAAGGATTTTTCTACCCCACCTGCCTTTGAACCATAATCTTCAGATTTCAGCTTCCTGAGTAGCTAGGATTATAGGCAGGAGCCACTAATGCCAAGCAGCTACCAACTTTTCGGTAGTTAGAGATAAGTTTTGTGGACCTCCCTGCCCAAGCTGACTTTGAACCACAATCCTCAGATCTGTCTCCTGAGTAGCTAGGATTACAGGTGTGAGCCACCGAGTGCCCAGCCAAAAAGGATCACTCTTACAGAGTATCTCCATGTGCAAGGTAGAGGTAGAGTGTGTGTGTGTGTGTGGGGAGAGAGAGAGAAAGAGAGAGAGAGAGAGTGTGTGTGTGTGTATACACCCAGGACTTAAAACTCAGGGACGATGCCCTCTCTTGGCTTTTTTACTCAAGGCTAGAGCTCCACCATTTAAGCCACACCTTCACTTCTAACATTTTTCAGGGTAATTGGGGCTAAGAATATTAAGGACTTTTCAGTCCAGACAGGCTTCAAACCTCAATCTTCAGATCTCAGCCTCTTGATAGCTAGGATTAACAGAAGTGAGCCATAAGTGTCCATCTTGGAGCTCCTTTTTGAGGAAAATATTCTGTAATCGATGATGGTGACAGTTACATCACCACATACACTATATACCAAAATATATACATATTAAAATATGCTGAATTGTAAGCCAGGCACTAATAGCTCATGCCTATAATACTAGATACTCAGGAGGCTGAGATCTGAGGATTATGGGTCAAAGCTAGCCTGGGCAGAAAGGTCCAGGAAAAATGTTATCTCTAATTACCATAAAGCTGGTAGTTGCCGAACACTGATGGCTCCCACCTGTAATCCTAGCTACCAGGAAGCTGAGATCTGAAGACTGCAGTTCAAAGCCAGTCAGTGCAGGAAAGTTTAAGATTCTTATCCCCAATTAACTTCCAAACAAATCTGAAGTGGAGCTGTGTCTCAAGTGGTAGTATTAGCCTTGAGGAAAAATAGCTCAGGCACAGTGCTCAGGCCCTAAGTTCGAGCTCCAGGACCAGTAACACAGACACAGACACACAGACACACAGACACGCACACACGCACACACAAGGCTTTTTAACATTAAACCACAAAAACAATTACCAAAAACAAAACAAAAAACCCACATACTTACCAGTTCTGTTTCTAGTAAGTTATTCGTATTTTCAAGTGTTCTCACACGACTGGTAGCTTCATTCAAAGCACTATCTAACTGGCCACATCTAAAAACCGTAAGTTCAGATTAAATTAGAAGGTAATCATTTCCCTTTAAAAGTATTATGTAAACCAAACCGATTCACCACTATGCATTACAAAGTAAATTCTCCAACGCTAAGAATGCAAAATATGATGATACTTTCATATCTGGAGAAGAGATCAGGCTAAACTATTAATATAAAAAGCTTCTTAAAAATATTAAGTAGAAGCCGGGCGCTGGTGGCTCACACCTGTAATCCTAGCTACTCAGGAGGCTGAGATCTGAGGATCGCGTTTCAAAGCCAGCCCGGGCAGGAGAGACCGTGAGACTCCTATCTCCAATAAACCACCAGAAAACAGGAAGTGGCGCTGTAGCTCAAGTGGTAGAGCGCTCGCCTTGAGCTGAAGAGCTGAGGGACAGCGCCCAGGCCCAGAGTTCAAGCCCCATGACCGACCAAAAAAAAAAAAAAAAATATATATATATATATATATATATATAAAGTAGGGAGGGAGCTAGGAAGGTGGCTCGGTGCTAGAATGCTTGCTTCGCCATGCATGAGGCCCTGGGTTCCATTCCTCAGTAATACATAAGCAGAAAAAGCCAGAAGTGGTGCTGTGGTTCAAGTGGTAGAGCGCTAGCCTTGAGCTCAAGAGCTGAGGGACAGTGTCCAGGCCCAGAGTTCAGGCCCCACAACCGACAAAAAAATTAAAATAAATAAGTAGGGGGCCGGAAGACTGGCTGAAATGGTAGAGTGCCTACCTAGCACGCATGAGGCCAAGTTCAAACCCTAGTACTGCAAAAAGTATATATGTATTTAAAAAAATATATATATATAAGTATTTATAAAATATGCACTACTTCATGTGCTTTAGCATGTGTGAGACCCTGGGTTCAATACAGACAGACAAGAGAGAGGAGAGAGAAAAAGCTGAGAAAAGAGAGAGAGAGAGAGAGAGAGAAAGAAAGAGGGGCTGGGAAGGTAGCTCAGTGGTAGAGCGCTTGCCTTGCATGCATGAGACCCTGGGTTCCATTCCTCAGTACCACATAAGAAAAAAGAAAAAAGCTGTGGAAGTGGCGTTGTGGCTCAAGTGGTAGAGCGCTAGCCTTGAGCTGAAGAGCTGAGGGACAGTGCCCAGGCCCAGAGTTCAGGTCCCACGACCGGACCCAAAAAAAAAAAGAGAGAAAGAGAGAAAGACTGATTTTGAGATTCTGAAAGGTAGAAAAGGAAGGAAGAAGAAAGAAAAAGGAAGAGGGGAGTGGGAGAGGAGAGAGGAAGGGAAGAGGCATCATGAAAAGTTCATAGCAGTGTATTCACAACACGCAACAGGAGGAAGCAACTCAAGTGTCCTTCAATAGATAACTTATACAGATACAATATACACACACACATACATTACTTAGAGCTATGGGTTTGGATCAAGTGGTAGAATGCTTATAAGTATGAAAACCCAACTTCAAAACTCCAATGCCACCAAAAAAATTACTTGGAGGAGGGGGGTACTAGTGGCTCATGCCTGTAATCCTAAACTACTCAAGGAGCTAAGATCTGGGGATGGCAAGGTGGCTCAGTGGTAGAGCGCTTGCTTTGCATGCATGAGGCCTTGGGTTCGATTCCTCAGCATCTCCTAAGCAGAAAAAGCCAGAAGAGGTGCTGTCGCTCAAGTGGTAGAGCACTAGCCTTGAGCTGAAGAGCTGAAAGACAGAGCTCAGGCCCAGAGTTCAGGCCCCACGACCAACAACAACAACAAAAGAAGCTCAGATCTGAGTATCATAGTTCGAAATCAGCCGAGTCTGTGAGACTCTTATCACCAATAAATTACCCCAAAAAGCCAGAAGTAGAGCTGTGGCTTAAGTGATAAGAGTGCTAGCCTTGAGCAAAATAAAGCTCAGGGACAGTGCCCAGGCCCTGAGTTAAAGCATCAAGGGAAAAAAAATTACTTAAGCAAATATGTCTCTCTGCTAAAATTTCAAATGCAAATACATTTTCAAAGCATTTTATTACCACATATTATACTTATGTGGAAGAAATGCATTCAGTAACTTCATGGTAAAGTTTTACCTGTCTGTAAGAATTTGATTGGTCTTCTTCCACTCTTCAATTGTAGAAAGTTCTTTTGCCTCTAACTTCTGTTTCAAACTATTTATTTCTGATTCATAATAAGCTCGAAGATCAGCTATGTGTCGAGCATGCTTTTCCTTTAGGTTCTGCCTGATCCTGTTGGTAAGAGTAAAACATACAATTACTAGGTCAGCACATCCTCCCCTCCATCCCTAAGAGAAAACAACAGTACAGTCATTCCCACTGGCAAAAGTACAGCCTTCTTTCTCTGTATACCCACAGAAAAGATAACGGAGGCCCCGTGCATACCATCTTCTATACATATAAGTACCCTAATTAGCTATTACTTACTAGGTACTTTCATATACCTTGTCTAAAACCTAAAAAAAATGATAATTTTTTGGGGGGAGGCATTGGTCATAGGGCTGAAACTGAGGGCCTGGGCACTGTCCCTAAGGTTCCTCCCTCCAGGTTTAGTGCTCTACCACTCTGAATCACAGTGTCACTTCTCCACAATCCTCAGATCCCAGCCTCCTGAGTAGCTAGGATTACCAGCCTAAGCCATCGGTGCCTAGCTTGTTATATAACTTTAAGGCTAATAAAAAAAAATCATTTTCATTATTCAATCAGATACCACAGAAAGAGCTAGGAACATTGCAAGCTATTCACTGAAATACATACGTAGACAGCACCACAGGATCTTCCATAGATGTCAAGGAAATGCATTCTGGGACACTGTTGGCTGTACTTGGAAGCTGGGACTGACCGACAGTGTTTTCTTCATCTACAGTGTTGACTGAGATATCATTACTAGTGACAGTATATAAAGAAGGAAATGTGGAACTGGTTCTACTTTCACTCTGGAACACGTTATTTTTCCAAGAGTCCACTGGTGACGCTTTCGTACTTGAAGGATATTTTGGGAATCCCGATAACTGAGAAGTGTCATTACTTGCTTGTGAAAATGAGTCGATGTCAGAGTGACCAGACATACTTGGTTGCAGAACAGAGTCTGGTGAAAAGGATATTCTGTCCCCACAAGCATTCAAGAAGCCAGGTGGCTGAGTCCCGGAAAGCTGCTGATCTGGCTTCATGTGTAATGTTGGGTCCAAAGTCAGGACCTAGAAATAAGACAGACCCCTGTAAACTTTTACCCTCAGTACTTAGGCTTTAGATCTCCAGGGGAAACAGAGCTATAAGAAAGTCAAAGTCATGAGCATCTTGCACTTCCACTAGCAGAATGATGACGTTACCTCAGGTGGATGATTTGGGTTGGAAGCAGAAGTGAGATTCCTCTCAGGTAACTGATTGTTTTCCCTTTGTTTTTTATGATAAATATCCTTCAATGATGGTAGCTTCATCTCATTACTACTTTTAGACTTAAAAGATATGAAACAAAATCATTTAAATGTTGTTATCTATGATAAACTAGCTGATTCAATATCAGCACCACAAAATTTTTTAAAGATCTTAAATAAACTGAAAAGCTAGACTGTCAGATTAATAATACAACTTCTGGAGTTAGAAATGTGACTCAAGTGGTAGAATACTAGCCTTGAGCAAAAGGAGCTTAGAGACAGTTCCCAGGCCCTGAGTTCAGGCCCCAGGATTTGCCAAAAAAAAAGTCTCCTAGATTTATACTCCCAAGCTAGCTTCAAACCTCAATCATTAAATCTTAGCCTTCCTAGTAGCTAGGATTATAGTCATGAGCCACTAGTACCAAGCTTCAACATAAAAACTGAGCACCAAGGCTTTTCACACCTTGTTAAAGAAATCCTGGGACTGGGAATTGGCTTAGTGGTAGAGTGCTTATCTAGCATGCATGAAGCCCTGGGTTTGATTCCTCAGTACCGTATAAACAGAAAAAGCTGGAAGTGGCGCTGTGGCTCAAGTGGTAGAATGCTAGCCTTGAGCAAAAGAAGCTCAGGGACAGTGCCCAGGCCCTAAGTTCAAGCCCCAAAACTGGCAAAGAATGGGAACTTCTTCATACAACTACTTAAAGATAATAATAATAATAATAAATATTTTTAAAAAACAAAAGAAAGGAAGAAAGGAAGGAAGGAAGGAAGGAAGGAAGGAAGGAAGGAGGAAAGAGAAAGAAAGAAATCCAGAAAGGAAGAAAGAAATCCTGAAGCCAAGCATGATGGCTAACCCCTATAACCCTAGCAATTTAGGAGGCTGAGAATAAAAGGGTCATTGTTAGAAGACAGCCTGAGGAATGAAGTTTACAAGGCTATCTCACTAGAAAAAGCTGGACAAGACAGCACATGCTTGCCATCTCAGCTACTGCAGAATAAAATTTTAAAAAGTGGACTGTGATCTAAGCATGAACTATGCCAAAAGCAAAACCTATCTCAAAATAGTCAGTGCAAACAAGGGCTGAAGGTATAACTTAGCAGTAGCATACTTGCCTATAGCAAGAAAAAGGGCAGGTTCAAATCCCAGCACTACCAGAAAATATAAAAGTTAAATCACCAATGCTCTTGGTACCTTGGAAGAAGATACAAGGTAAAACTTTATTAAAAGAGAAGTGTAAGTTTCTGTAGGTGACATTTTAGCAATTTTATTTTGCTTTTTTTGTTTTTTTTTTGGTCAGTCATGGGGCTTGAATTCAGGGCCTGGGTGCAGTCCTTGAGCTCTTTCACTCAAGACCCTTACTCTATTACTTGAGCCATAGCTCCATTTCCAGTTTTCTGATGGCTAGTTGGAGATAAGAGTCTCACAAATTTTCCTTCCCAGGCTGGCTTCAAACTGAAATCCTCAGACCTTAGCTTCCTGAGTAGCTATTGATTACAGATGTGAACCACCAGTGCCCAGCTTGCTTATGCTTATTTATTTATTTATTGCCAGTTGTGGGGCCTGCACTCTGGGCCTGAGCACTGTCCCTCAGCTCTTCAGCTCAAGGCTAGTGCTCTACCACTTGAGCCACAGTACGACTTCTGGCTTTTTCTGCATATGTGGTGCTGAGGAATTGAATCCAGGACCTCATGCATGCAAGGCAAGCACTCTACCACTGGCCATCTTCCCAACCCCTGCTTTTTATTTTTAATATGTAAAAGTCACATGATAATAATCTTCATTTAAGTCTAAAATCTCCGCAAGAATAAAATATATCCAGGTGCCAGTGGCTCAGGCCTGTAATCCTAGCTACTCAGGAGGCTGAGATCTGAGGATCATGGTTTAAAGCCAAACCAAGCCCAGGCAGGAAAGAGGGCAGGAAAGACCGTGAGACTGCTATCTTCAATAAGCCACTCAGAAAACTGGAAGTGGTGCCATGACTCAAGTGGTAAGAGATCTCACCTTGAGCTGAAGAGCTGAGGGACAGCGTTCAGGCCCAGAGTTCAAGCCCCATGACAAAAAATAAATAAATAAATGAAATATAAATTCTATGTGAAAAGAAAGTATCACAATGGTTTAATTCATAAAATTTTACAAGAATATGAAGTAGTTTGTCTTAAAAGTAATGGTATTGGGGCTAGGAAGGTGGCTCAGTGGTAGAGTGCTTGCCTTGCATGCATGAGGCCCTGGGTTCGATTCCTCAGCACCACATAAGCAGAAAAAGCTGAAAGTGGCAGGAAAGTCCATAAGACTCTTATCTCCAATAAACTACTCAGAAAAAGCCAGAGGTGGTATTGTAGCTCAAGCAGTGGAGCGCTAACCCCCAAATTCAAGTCCCAGGACCAGCAAAATAAATTAATTAATAATTACTGTATCTTAGATTCAATTAATAGTATTTATTAATATTCAAGACCCAGTAATGAAGTAAGACATGTAACTACAAAGTCTATGAAGAGTCCATCTCTTTCACAATTCCATCACCCTTAAAATCATTATCTCTTGTGTACACATATGCATCTAGGCATGCATCTATCTAGCTATTTAGTTATCTAGCTATCTGTCTGTCTGTCTATACAGATCTGGGGAAGAAACCTGGGCAGAGGGAGGACCCTCACAGATAGTAGGCAATTAATTGCTCTCCCATTGGGAAATATCTCCAGCCCTCTTTTCTCCTTGTGTTCATCCTCTCCCTTGGTTTGTATTAGTTTCTGTTGCTTTCGGGGACTCTGATGTTTACTAGTAACTGTTGTTCCACAGTCCCATCTGTTCACATGTCACACATTTTATATCTTCTCTTTTTTTCCCAAATCTACTCATTATCTGATCAAAATACACAAATAGGAAATGTATATCGATGTACAAATAATGAAGTTTTATTTCTTTGCTTTGAACCAAATATTTATATATGTTTATTATTATTATTGCACAGGTCCTAGGGCTTGTACTCAGGGCGTAGGAATTGTCCCTTAGCTTTTTTTTTTTTTTTTGGGTCCGGTTGTGGGGCCTGAACTCTGGGCCTGGGCGCTGTTCCCTCAGCTCTTCAGCTCAAGGCTAGTGCACTACCACTTGAGCCACAGTGCCACTTCCAGCTTTTTTCTTTTTGCTTATGTGGTGCTAAGGAATCGAACCCAGGGCCTCGAGCATGCAAGGCAAGCGCTCTACCACTGAGCCACCTTCCCAGCCCGTCCCTTAGCTTTTTTACTCAAGGCTAGTTTACCACTTAAGCCATAGTTCCACTTCTGGCTTTTTGATAGTTAATTGAAGACAAGAATCTCATAGCCTTTTTTGCATGAGCTAGCTTTGAACTACGATCCTCAGATCTCAGCTTGCAGAGTAGCTATAATTACAGGCCACCACTGCCCAGCTTTAATTATACTAAGATCACATAATTCTTCTAAGATCACATAAGGGAAAAATTACAGGTTTTTCTGTTTGTGTGTTTGTGTGTGTGTGTGTGTGTGAGAGAGAGAGAGAGAGAGAGAGAGAGAGAGATTAGGGCTTGAACTCAGGGCTTCTCTTAGCTTTTCCCAACTCTACCACGTGAGCCTCTCACTCTCAGCTTTTTCCCTTACTCTATCACTTGAGCCATGACTCCATTTTCAGCTTTTTGCTGATTAACTGAGGATTTGTTTGCCAGGCTCTGAATCACTGTCCTCAGATCTCAGCCTTTGGAGTTGCTATAAGTACAGTTATAAGCTACTGGCATGCAGCTAGAGACCACATTTGAAAGGAGGTGAGTATAACTTTAAGCTCATGTTTTTTGTTTCCTTTTTTTGATTGTGGGGCCTGAACTCTAGGCCTGCGTGCTTTCCCTCAGCTCAAGGCTAATGCTCTACCACTTGGCCACAGTGCCACTTCTGGCTTTTCCTGCTTATGTGGTACTGAGGAATGGAACCCAGGGCCTCATGCATGCTAGTCAATCACTCTACCACTGAGCCACCTTCCCAGCCCCAAGCTCATGCTTTTTCTAGAGTACTAGAAGTTACAAAACACATTGTATACTAGCATATTTAACTACAATTGTAAAACATAAAATATGCACAAGATAACGTACTTTCACAGTGATTACCTGGCCCGAAGAGCTCTCTGCAGAGGAACATGAAAATGCCTTCTGCAAAGCTTCAGGCAAAGAGCAATGCATGTCCTTCTCTTCCAGTTTCCAGTAACTGAGTTCTGATGGGCACCAACATGTTGAACACAAGGGAAAAGAACAAAAACGTCCTCAGAATAACTTATTTCCAATAGGAAGGAACTAGTTCTGGCTTAGCTGGTTGTAGCAAGCTGAATTTTATAGGGGAAGTCACATGAATGTTGTACCATTCAAGGAGCCCAACTTAAAAATGCAAATACTTAAAAATGATTTTTTTTTTTGTCAGTCATAGGGCTTGAACTCTGGGCCTGGGTGCTGTCCCTCAGCTCCTTAGCTCAAGGCTAGTGCTCTACCACTTGAGCCATTTCGGGTTTTCTGCTGGTTTAGTGGAGGTAAGAGTCTCATGGACTTCCCTGCCCAGGCTGGCTTTGAACCACGATCCCAGCCTCCTGAGTAGCTAGGATTACAGGCATGGAGCCACCAATACCCAGCTAAAGCTGAAATATTAAGAGTCAAATGAATTAGGTCAGCTTAAAATACATTTTAAAACAAACAATTTCTTTACCACTAATACAGACTTACATAGAATCAGTGTGAAGAGTTCAATAATTCGAGTATTTATTAATTGTGTGCCTGGCTGGGAGGCAGGAGGACTGAGACCTGAACAAGTAACCCACGCAGAACACATGAGGGTGAACAAGTTGCCAAGTACTCTCTGCTTAAATGTTCTCTGCTGCAGCAGAGAGGAAGAGAGGACAGAGAGGTAATGAGGATTGGCCCACGGGGACTTATGGGCCTGAGGATCACATGCCATAATTTATCCTTTGTCATGGCTCTAGCTATTGTGCTGAGAACAGACCAGAGGGAGCACAGTGGTGGCAGGGAGGTTGTCACAAAGCAACCAGGTGACACATGAGGGGCTACATAAAGGTGATGAAAAGAGGTTAGACTCTGGAAATTTCTTTTTTTTTTTTTTT